CATACATACATACATACATACATACATACATACATACATACATACATACATACATACATACACATACACATACACATGCTCGAGAGCACATGAATTTGTAGTCCGTTCGTGGCCGCAGTTCCGGCTCCCCCCTCCGCTCCGTCGACTCGAGAGATAATCGGATCTAATTGAACTGATTTTCAATCGTACAAGTTCTTTTCTTACTCATTCGCAAACCTGGTCGCCTCATCTTGTCACTCGTGTCCGGCCCACCTCGAGACCGATGCTCGAGACGACTGACGACATGTCGACAAGACGCGAACACATGCCGACGTGTCATGTTGTGCGGGTGGGACTCGTTTTGGCGAGAAGACGAGCACGGACATCCGGTCCTTCGTGTTGGGACGGACAGCAGTCCGACTCCGAGACGCCAACGAGACACCAGCACCAGGCGCAACACACAAAGCACAACAAACAGAGCGACAGCCGTACAGCGGTCCGGTGACGAGTCCGAGTGGTGACTGGCCGTTGCTCCGAGTGCACTGACGACGCTGCATTCAAGTCGAAAGACTGGGTGTGGCTTCTGCCTTCGAGGTCTCGAGCCCCGAAAGAAGTCGAGTCCAAGCCGCGCACGTTGTCAAAGCGAACGAAGGAAATTCCGTGCATTGGCGCATTCCAGCCGGTGGCCACGAGGCGAGCATAAAAGCGACTGAGAACAGCAAGTTTCTGTCACGAAAGTCCGAGATCCGAGTCCCAACCTACGACGTGTCAGCTCTGGGGAAAGCTAAGTCGAAGTCGCCATTCCCAGTTTGCAACATGTTTCCCTCGAGACCGGCAGAAAACTGTTGATTGTCGTCGGAATACACCCGTTTCAACTATTTTTTTGATTCCGATAACCATTCGGCCCACAAAGAGGTGAAGAGAAGGCCGGACTTTTTTCTTCACAATTCACACTCCAGTGCTACTAGAAACCACATTCTTTTCTCTCTATTCCATCATTTTGTGGCTAATTTCGCATCGACAATGGGCGTCGTGTGCGCTCATTTAAACTTAAAACACTACTGAAATGGGCAGTTAGTAGGTGCAAATCTAGACATTTTGATTGGCGTAAGGTGCTATGGGAGTGATGGCCCAATTTTTAACACAAAATAAAATGACTATATCATCTTTGTTATTATAAAAAGACCTAAATTTGTTGTCAGGATTCATTGTTAGTCTCGAAATATTTATTAGCATACTACATTCTCTTATGGGAATTAAAGAGAGTCTTGAAACTGATTTACTACTTTGTTGTGAAGACTTTCATTTCGTAGGAAAGTGCACGATGAGAAGAGTTGAGGGTCAATCTCAAGAGAAGATGACGGCTGATTTGATATGAAGTTCAGGTTGATGCCGTCCACGAGACATCTTACACTGTTTCAAGTGAAGCAGGACTCAACCTCAAGATGACACCAAGTCAAGAAGAGTGACAGGCTCTTTCATACTTTATACATACACTCGTAATGAGAACAAACGTAGACATAGATAGATATAGATTGTATCTGTATATGCATGTATATTAACGTCTGTAGGCATAGCCGATCTAAACTCAGAGTACTTGAACAAAAGCTTGGAGTCACCAAGTCTTAATGAACCAATGAAAAAAGCACGAAACAGATTGCGTTAGTTCGTAAGTAAGTCTGGTTGAAGTGATGATATGTAAGCTTGTAGGCGAGAAAGTCAGGTTACGAAGTCATTAGTCGGAACCCGTTGAGCTGGGCTTTTATGGTTTGATGATCCAGCTGCGATTGCCTATTCTTGAACGTCTGTTTTGGTTGATGAGCTTAACATGTCTGTTGAGTAAGTGTGAATTTAGTATGAACAAGTGATGAAGACTAGGGCAGACCATTTAAATACTACTACTCAACTACTCATTTCAAATGGGCGAAAAGTTAGCCTTGTTCTGACGAGGCAAGTTTGAGCGGAATCTGGGCCGGAGGGGGTGAAGCCCCCTTTGAAAGTAGTTCCTGCTTCTGCATGAAAATGCCAACAATGGCAGGAGACGATTCCGCGACTTCAGGTCCAAGTCCGCAGCTTCAGAGTTCTCTCGATTTCATCATGCTGTGGCCAATTTTGTATCGAAAGGTCAGCTTTTTTACGCCATTACACTCGATACGCTTCTAATATGTACAGTAAGTAGTAAGTAGTAGGTTTGATTAATATGAGTTTTATCAGATGATATGGGAATAGTGGCTGAATTTGCACACAATAAAATGACGACACGACTGTGGGACTATTCCACCATTCGATCTTTTTTCGGCCAAAAACGTCTTTGTATCTTCGGGTTTCGAGTCAGTTGTTTCCAACGGCGCAACCTTTTACCCGCTCTGTCCATAATTTCATAAATGGTACCTGTTCCTTTTCATTACACTCGACACATTAGTGATATGTACAGTGATGAGTAAGTTTGATTATTTCGATCCTACGATGGAGTATGATTGATGGCCACATTTTCACATCATGTACCCAATAGGCCTTCCGACGGCATTTGGAGAAAGGTTAACCAAACAGAGGAGACCTTCGCTGCGGCAGGAAGAAGAAAAAGAAGAAAAAGAAGAAGACCTTTTCGCAGTTGCAGAGGTCGAACTGTGGCCTACGGGGGTGGCGCGGACAATTGGGCTCATTTGGTAAACCCGGCCTTTCCACCTAATCCGTCCGGTTCCAACCGTCTCCCCCCCTCCCGCATCGTCCGGTTTTTCACACTCTCCTCCCACCCTTCCACTCGCCTCCTGCAATTGGAGAATTGGCTAATCGGCTCACCGATCGGCCCGACGGGCTCGAACGAGACCCCTTCGGCGGACAGCCAAACTCGCCCTC